ATTGTTATTGTAAGCTGATATGCTTGAAAAATGAAGAGGTATTCACGTCATTCTTTGGTTTTCGTTTTTTTTCGATTCTTAATGTTCATTGAATGCTTGTTTCGTGAATTCAGACTTGTTCATACGAATAAAAGAGCATGACTTCATTAAGGATCTTGTTGTGGGATATCATATATTGGCACCGAATGCCGGTGAAATCACACAAGGTTTCGGAATTGCTTTGAAGCTGAAAGGTAAAAAGGCAGATTTCGACCGTTTGATCGGAATCCATCCAACCGTTGCTGAGGTTTACTTCTTATTTGTTTGATACGTACCATTCATATTGTGATTCTTGTTCATTTTCTTGAATTCCGCAAGGATGTCAGGCGGAAAGGTTTTCATAGAAGTATTTTTTCATTCCCTGAATTTTTTCACGGAAAAGCATGCGAAAATTTTTCCATATATGTTTGTATTATTCTTCATAAAATGAGTCAGCAATCAGCTGAAAGTATTTCAGAACTTCACGACGTTGACGACGCTGAAAGAAGAAGGTCAAGAACTGAAAGCAACGGGTTGCTGAGGTTAAAGTGTGACCTCTGATGGAGTCGACTGAATTGGAACTTTATCCAGTTAGTGTCAGTCGACTCGCAGACAGAGGTCGTCGAAACACAGACGAGTGATTGTTTGCGGTGGCTTTTGAGGATGTGCCTTGTTGACGTATTTATTGTTGAATACGTGAACGCGTACGCCCAAAATGAGCCATTGTATTCGTGTGACGGATTGTTGCTAAACTCCACGAGAGCGCTTCAATCCCGATTTATCACTCGTAGTGAATCGTTTTTGCTCTTCTTGTTTTCATACATTGTGTTCAATCAATTTTGCATCGTTGTGGTTCATCATGAAGATCGAACGTCTTTCTTATCGAACCGCCAACAGACTCACTATGCATTCATACCTAGGCCCATTATTTAATTTGTTTATTTGATCGGTGAACTCATAATGAGTTCATGCCTCTCTTTGAGTTGTCACAAGCATCGCACTTCTCATTCTTCAGCATTTTTTTAAAATGTGCAGCTCATGGCA